CTCCCCCTTCACTACGCTATTGCCTGTGTCCCTGGGTTCCGCATATATACATATAAATTCTTTGGTTAATCTCCTCCAGCCCCTCTCTCCCCTCTTCCCTCTGAGATGCTTGGAACAGGCTGACTAATCAAGTTCTTCGAACAAATCTTCTAAGCCCCTCCCCAGAATAACCATTTCTTACCTCATTTTTCAGAATTTTGGTATGTTACTTTATTAGTGAGTGTTCTCCAGAGAAGCAGGACCAGTAAGATGTGTAATCAGATAGATAATTTTATTTTCAGGAATCGGTGTATGCAATTGTGGAAGCTGGCAAGTCCAAAATCTGCAGAGTGGCCCAGCAGGCTGAAGACCCAGAGGAAAGCTGATGTTGCAGCTTGAGTCCAAAGGCAGAACTCTTCTGCGGGTCTCTGTCTTTTGCACCGCAAGGCCTTCACCTGGTTTGATTAGGCCCACCCTCATTAAGGAGGGTAAGCCTCTTTACTCAAAGTCTACTGGCTTAAACATTAATCTCGTCTAAAAAATACCTTCATGGCGAAATTTAGACTTGTGTTTGACCCAGTATCTGGATGCTGTGGTCTAACAAAGTTGACACATAAAATGAACTGTCACAGCTACCTTTTTGCTTCTCTTTTTTTAATTTATGAGTCTCCTCGTGATGATTATCCATTTGTGGGAGAGCTACTGATCACACCGGAGGCGGCTACTGTTGCCATTTAATTCTATTGGCCTGACTGTCAGCCACACCCCCGGCTGAAGGCAAAGATGCGACATATTATAGTTCATGATGAGCGTGCATGACAATACAGTCAGAGCTTTCATACTAGGGAAATGTAGAAGGACCAGGAGTAACCCTTCAGATTTCAAGAAGCCAGCAGGCTGAGGCAGTGAGAAACAATTCTGTTCCTACATAGGACAATCCCACTTCAAATTCCTGGACTGGTTTTATACAGGGAGCTCTTATACTGGGAGCCAGCCCACAAAGGAACAGTGGGGGGAACTGCTGCAGCCTGGTGAGGCAAACGCTTCCTCCCCCACGACAGAAGAATCACCAGGTGGCTTGTAAATTTTGGCACCCCTCATCTAGCTCAGCTGGTTTGGTGCCATTAAGAATTCACCCCAAGCTAGAACAGGTCTAGAGATGGCATCCATTGACCCTGAGATGGAAATAGAGACATCTGAGGTTGCTCCAAAATTGATACCTGTATATCTACTTCATAGGACTTTTCAAAAGTTTTATCTCCCTCAAACTAAGTCCAGTTTACTGCCCCTGTGGCTCAGGCCTGCAAACACCTGGAAGGAGGGATTAATCACGCCTTCTGTCCTGTGGTTGCACTATGTACAGTGCTCATTACCTGGGATCACAGTTACAGGCATTCCTCAGAGATATTCCCGGTTTGGTTCCAGACCACTGCAATAAAGCGGTTTGTCGAGGGTCTTGGCTTCAATTTGTAAAAATACACATCTGAGAAACACAATAGAGCAAAGTGCAACAAAACAAGGTATGTCTGTATTTTATAAATCTGCCTTTCCCGGGTAACTAGTCAGAAGCCAGCCTCTGAAACATGTAACTCCATATCTGGCACTTACTAGGCGTTTGGTCAACATTTATTGAAAGAAATTGGAATTGACTATTGAAAATCAGTGTCTACCTACGAATTGCTTTCACAGCCTACTTCATGTCCGCTAGGCACATAAAAAATTTTATTGGGCCCTGGCCGTTGAGGCTCAGTTGGATGAGCACCAGCCCAGGCACCAAGAGGACATCGATTCGATTCCTGGTCAGGGCACATGCCCAGACAGTGAGCTTAATCCCCAGTAGGAGGCATGCAGAAGGCAGCCGATCAGTGTTTCTCACATCAATGTTTCTTTCTCTCTCTCTCTCTCCTTCTCTCTCTAAAATCAATTTAAAAAATTTTTTTTTAATTTTGATTGGCACAGAGGCCAATGAAATCACATGTTTTTTGTACTGTTTTGTGGGTTTTTTTGGAGATCACAAATTTATTTTTTTTTAGAATAGCTTTATTTTTATTTTATTTTTCTATTACAGTTTACATTGAATATTATTTTTGTGTTAGTTTCAGGTGTACAGCATAGTGGTTAGACAATCATATCTTTTACAAAGTGATCACTCCAATATTTCAAATACCCATCTGGCACCATACAGTTATTATAATATTATTGACTATATTCCTGTCCTACTTTTTTTTTCTGCAAGAACTAATATTTCCCACTGAGAGGTAATGCAAGACTTTGTTGTGATACATTAGTATGTACACATCACTGCTTCATGATTGGTTAGGCAAATCAGACATACGTGTAAAGTATTTCTGGGTGTGGGACTGTGTGCTCAGCACTAACGTGGTTTAAAAGCCTTTATCAATATGAAGGTATTCAGTGTAGTTTTGCTCCATTCATTTTCAAGAAAATTTCTGCCAAAGGCTTAATAACCATGGTTTGTCTATCAGTTGTTCTTTAAATAAATATGGTGTTCCATAAAAAAAACCTAAAAAAAAACCGAGCTAGTTCAGCTCACATCTTAAGCAATCACACAAGTGCTTTTCCTCAAAAACATGCAAGTTGAAAGTATCGGTGGACATTTGAGTCAGCTAAGGTGACGCTGCTATAGGGCACTTACAGAGCAGTCCCCCCTACTCACTTTTCAAGGTTTCAGTTACTCACAGTCAACCATGGTCCAAAAATATTAAATGGAAAATTCCAGAAATAAACAATTCGTAAGTTTCAATGTGTGTGCCCTGCTAAGTGGCATGATGAACTCTCACAACATGCCACGCCATCCCACCTGGGACGTGAATCATCTTTGTCCAGTAAACCAACCTGTGTATACCGCCTACCTGTTGGTCACTCAGTAGCCACCAACAGCAGTGGTATCTCGGTTCTGGGGTTCAGGTAACTCTTATTTTACTTAATAATGGCCCCAACGTTCAGGAGTAGTGATGCCGGCGATTAGGGTATGCCAAAGAGAAGGGTGCTCCTTTTAAGTGAAAATGTATGTATGTATAGGAAAAACATAGTGTATCTAGGGTTTGATACGATCCACAATTTCAGGCATCCACCATGAGCCTCTGAACATATCCCCTGAGGATAAGGGGGGACTACTGCATAGATCAATTAATCTGTTTTAACAACCAGCAAGTGGCACTATGTGTCCAATACTATGCACCATCTAGCTTATTTTCCACGGCACTGGCTTTTTGTTTTTGGCTTTTTGTTTTTTTGTTGTTGTTATTATTGTTTTACAGTGTAGCTTCTGAGGAAAGTCACCCAGACCTGTGCTAAAATGACAGACTTTCCAAAGAATGTGTAAATGACACTACCTGCAGTGCGACAACCAAAAGAGAGCAAAAGATAAACAGGGTCACACACATAGCACAAGACTGAACTGGTGCCTTGGGGGGAAACTCTACTCTGTTATTTTAGCTGTGTTGCTAAAATGCATGAAGGTCAATGGCACTGTTGAAGCGTTGGCTGTGTCTCGCAGCAGAAAATTTGCTGGACGAAAGCAAAGGAAATTTGAAAGAAAGATAGTCTTTTTTTCTTCCTTCTGTTATCTGGGCTCTAGCTTTTAATTCGCAATAACATTCAGCCTGGGTCACTTTAACCACCAAAATACTGGAGAAAGAAAAGACTGAATGTCTGACTTATTTCACTGCGGTCTACCATGAGTTAGAAAGGTCTCCTGAGCATTCTGCTGTGTGTATTTGGCTTCTGCTCCTTCCTGTCAAGTGTGCATTTCTCCGCAGCAGTCCCCAAACATTTTTGTCTTGAGACCCCGTTTCATTCTGTAAAATGATTGAAGATATTGGATATTGTATTATTTTGAGTTTTCTATCAATGTTCACCTGACTGGAAATTGAAACTGAGAAAAAATTTAAATATTTATTAACTCATTAAAAATACTATTTAAAATCGATTACATATTAACATAAATAATATGTTAATAGAAATAAGTACATATCCAAAAACAAATATAGCAAGAAGAGTGGCATTGTTTTACATTCTGGCAAATCTCTTGATGTCTGGTTTAATAGAAGACAGCTGCATTCTCAGATCTGCTTCTGCATTCAATCCAATGCAATATGTTGTCACAATTAAAGTATATAAAGAAAATTCAGTCTCAAACAGAAATGTAATCGAAAAAGAGATGGGTATTTTAACAGTCTTTTTAGATAATTGTAGCTGTTCTTCTTAAATACTGTACCCAAACCCAACAAGCTGTAGTTTCTTCAACCACATCGATGAACTTGTCATTCTGTTATATTAAAATCCATTGGTCTGTCTTACATTTTGAGTAAATCCCTTACCTATGCATGATTTGTAACATCATTGGTCTTTAGAAAATCTAGATCTTCCAAATGTTAACACCTTTAATATACCTTCTTAGAGAAGTTATCACTACCAATCCTATCATAAAAGTTTATAAGTATTTGGAAAACTGTTAAATTCACTATGACAGATACAAGTTTTCCAAAATTCTGACTTTCTCTTGAAAGCTCAGTTTTTATCATTGACAATAAGTACTGTCAGAACCTATATAACTTTATTAACCAATGTAACCTACAATAAATTCAACTTTAAAAATATAAATAAGTAAATAGCCAGTTTTGGTTTTTTCCCTGATGTTTTAGGCTCACTCCATTCATTTTCAAAAAATTTTCTACAGCCCTGGCCCGTGTGGCTCAGTTGGCTGAGTGTCATCCCATTCACTGAAAGGCTGCAGGTTCCATTGCCCTGATCGATTCCAGGCAGAGCACATACCCAGATTTCAGATTTGATTCCTGGTTGGGGCACTACAGGATGCAACCAATTGATGTTTCTCTCTCACATCAATGTTTCTCTCTCTCCCTCTCCCTTCCTCTCTCTCTAAAATAAATAAAAACATATTTTTTTAAAAAAAGAAAGAAAAATTCTGCTAAATACCAAATAACCACAGTTTGTCAGTTGTTCTTTAAGTAAATATAGTCTCCCATGAAAAAAGGAGCTCACATCAACCATCACAGGAGTGTTTTCCTCAGGGCAAAGTTCCTATTTTGGTGTGAGCAGAAGTGCTTCATGTTCACTTTCCATTTTGTCACACAGAATATTAAAATGATATGTACGCAAGGGTGTGGATTTAATAAACTTCATTTTTATAGCTTCATTAAAACATTTTAAAGTGAGACTGTTTTATTGTTGTTTTTACTGCAAGTACAATGACTGCTATTACCACTGCTTTTGCATCAAGGTACACTGTCGACACAATTTTTTAAAAAGCCAAAAATGTCAGTATTATTATGAAAATAATTTTGCCCTGTGAACCCCTGAAAGGGTCTCCAGGACACTCAGGGATCTGTGGTCCACACTTTGGGAATTTCTGCCTTACAGTGAGGGGAGAGATAGAACTAGACTCAAAAAGACTAGGATTTGAACCCTTAGCTAAGAAGTTGAGCCATTTATTAGCTACCGGAGCATGGGAAAGTTAAACTAAGTCTCAAATTTCTTATGTATAAAATAGAAAAAAAAAAAAATGGGC